TACCTGTACAGGTTATACTGCTATGAAAATATAGTCCTGAGTGTTCATACAATTTTTGCGTACTTTTACTTAGGTTTTTGTTAGAAACTTCAGTTTGTCTCTTTGTGGGGTAGGGTCAAAAAGTCAAGATGGTAGCTGCAACCATGCAAACAAAACCCTTCCTCTTTGTTATGTGCGATACAATGCCTGTGAAAAAAGGGCAGTGCTTTGATTGCGGTCACCCCTGCCATATTGATTTCTTTGACACTATGACCCCTGATACAGATCCCGCCCGTGCTTTGTGAATCTTTTTTGCATTCGTCTTCAATGCTGTGCACACATTATTTTTGCTTCTACGCTTTGGAATTTTATGCCCACTGAATGGTAGCGTTGCATACATGTAAAATGTAGCCTTTATTTTTAATCTTTCACTATTTATATATTCTTGACATTCATGAATGATTAATCAAATTCACTTGGTAGCTTTTTGGACATAATTCTATTTCAGGTTGGTCCGTGAATTTTCCACGCTACATTAGTGTCATGTCTTTTGTGTGTGTGTGTGGGGGGGGGAAGGTGACATGAACTTGGTTAGCCCAAGTTTTCTTAGCATATTTCTAATCCCTCAAAACACTTTTGGATTCCCCCCCCCCAGAATTGCAACCCTGCTACATATCTCCCTTTTTTAATTAATGGAGAGGAAGATTGTTCTGTGGAGCAGCTGTTCAAAATTGGGAAAATAACCTTTGTGTAATAAAACTCCTATCTGTCCCTGCACTTGGCTTTCTTTCTTGCTTCCAGGCAGATTGTGTGTTGCTTCTAGCTTCCTGCAAGTTGGGGCTTTTGGTCTGTTTTTTCCTCTTCTGTCCCTCAGAAGTAAGAGTGAGCCCAAGCAGCTGTTCAGCCTTTGCAGAAAAGACACATATGAACACACACACACCGGTTCTTTTTGATTGCAGTAGTCTAGCTTGATTTCCTTCCTTTTCCTTATGCAAAAGTTCCATTATTTTGAAGCAGGAGGGGGTGGGAGGATGTGCAGCGAAGAGGCAACAATATCTTAAAATGGGAGCGTACACGAAGCAGAAATTTTCATGTCATGGATTGTACCATAGCCGGAATAACTCCATCATATTGTAGAACTACAGCTACAGATTAAAGCACTGCTTAACAATTTATGCTTTTGGGACATTGGTCCTTAAGCCTTTGTGCATAAATATGGAGTATGGAAAACATATCTATTTTTTTTTAATAAAACACTTCATGGTTACAAGAAAGAGAACTGTTAGCAGTTTGCTTTTTTTTTTTTTAATTTAGAAGGGTTGTCATTAACCAAAAACAACTGATTTCAGCTTTGTAATCCTTTGTGTGAAAGTGTAGGATTGGATCCATAGGAAATGGTACCCAAACTGTGCACTAAATGATTTAGTTTTGTGTTTCTTTAAAAGAAAAGAGAGACTACAGTTCATTAACAGTTATCTTTAATCCTGCTGTTACATTCCTGGTGTTTATGGATGTATAAAAGCTTCATTAGTATCTATAGTGTTCATTGTTGCAGCTTCACATATACTGAGTGCTGGAGAAAATTCTAGGCAGATACAACAACAATCTTTCTTTAGGCAGAAATCGAATAAGATCTCATGTAGGAATGGCTGCCTTGGCTCCCAGCCATGCAAAAGACATTCCAAAATTTCAACCATTTCTTTCTTTGGGAAATTTGGGAAATTCATGGACATAGACAGTCATCTTGAAATTTATTGCTTCCTGGATAATGGATCTCTTCATTAAAGTTGTCATTTTTGTGTACCATGGTTCCCATGAAGATACTTTCTATTATTTTTTTTTGTGATGTCTATTTGCAAATGAGTTTGACACCATCCATTTGCAGCATTGTATCTTTGTGAAGCTGTGTTTCTGTCAATCTTTTGACCTGTGAAAATATTACTGACGCTAAAGGATCACTAATCAAGAAAGTTTGGGAACCTCTGACGTGAACTGATGATATAGTTAGACACAAACTTTCTTCTGAAAATTTCAATACTTCTCTAGATTATTGGGGATAGTTAGCTCAGATAGGCAGACTGATCCTTGGAATATTTATTTCCAATCCACATGAATTACCAGGAGAACCAAATGAATTAAACTAACCAAAGAGAGAAGCAACCTAGAACTAAGGAGAAACTTCCTGACAGAACAATTAATCAGCGGAACAACTGAAGTTGTGAATGCTCCAACACTGGAAGTTGTTAAGAAGAGATTGGACAGCCAGATAGTAGACTGAATTGTGATGAGGTTATTTGAATTCAAGTCCCATTGAAATCAAGTTGCATTGCAAAAGAACTTACTTTATTTAGGGGAAATGTATGTTTAATTAATTTAGTCTGTTCTAAAATATATTTTGTATAAATTACTTGAGTTTTCGGACATTGTCCTTAAGGAGGTAGCTTCTTAGTAAGTAGGAAATAGCTTGTCTTTGTAGAATATAGCTTTTTAATTTTAGGCATCAGATTTTGATAATTTACAGATACAGTACATATTTTTGCTACCTTACAAGTTTCAGTAAGTCCTAACTACATTACATGATGAAGCTTATTCTTAGAAGATAGTATTGAAGATTGTGCATCTCTCTTTCATCAACTTTTGAAGACATTTTGGGGTCTTAACATAAAGTTTATTATCTCTAGCCTGCATTTCTGACTCCCTTTCTTACTGCAGTGGATGGATAAGAGCTGGGCCATTTCTGAATTCAGTCATACTCATTTTTGCACATCATAAATTGTAAATAAGACCTGAAATGCTCATGGTTTTCAGTTATATTTTGTACATGATGCACAATGCCTTTTTAAATTATTCTAACAGCTCTGAAGCTTTTACTGGACATTCCTTATAATTTCCATTTAAAAGATTATGCATTTATAATGTGCTAAGACAGTGTCACTTAAAAGCTGGCAATGTCTTTGAGTTGCTATATGTAATGCATTAATAAAAATAGTGTTTAAGTGATAAAAGCTATTTAAGATTGCTTTCATTTTAGTATTATGAGAAAAAAATATTGTGCTTTAAACTAGAAAACAGTGGCTTAAAAATAATGTTATATATTATTTCTTTTTTTAGTAAATTCTATAGTTTGGGATATTTGCTTTATTTCTTTGTGCCCACAAAATTTGATTACCTGGCAATGTAGGACAGACTTTGTATCCAGGTGATTCCCATATGCAACATCCTTGTTTAAATGCTGCCATTAAATCGAGAAACCTCTAATTAACTTAATTTTCCATTTGTGGAAGGTGTGTCTAGCTTTGAAATCACAGAAAATATTCAAAAGGGTCTTGCATGGAACAGTGAGGTTCAGAGGGTCCATATCTTGACCAAAGTGTTCATTTTAGGTACGAATCCAGAACAAGCATATTGGATCTTGGCATAGATGTTGTATGGTGGAAGACAACAGATTAATAGCAAGGTCATTGGCAACAGCAGCTAAGCAAAGATACCAGAGAACAGTTTTTTGGTTATGCCACCTTTGAATTCAAGTGGGGTAGCTAAGGACAGGGAAGATTTGCTGCCCAAACCATACAAAAGCAGAGAGTAGAGAGGAGCAAGGTGCCCGAAGCTTGCTTTGTTCATCCTGCAGGACCCACCTGAAACATCTCTAAGCTGAAACATGAATCAATCAAGATATTCCCCGTTTCATTTCAAGATGCTCCATGATTCATCCAAAATGGTTCAGTTGATTTCCTAAACACAATGCATTGGTTTCATACTCAGAACAAACAAGTGTTTCATGCATACTTCTATTTTAAATATAGTTTAATATCCTGGTTTATTTTGAAGCTGGAACCCCTATATCCTGGTTCATATAAAATGAGGAACACTGGTAAATTGTGTTCCTCATTTTATATCCTGACTAATTATCATGACTAATTAAAACTTAATTAAAAAAGTAGAGCAAGGAGATTTTATTCACGGGCAAAAAAAAGGGTTGTCCAGAGCTCACTTGTTAAGACAAGGTGTTATAGTCTGAAATAGGTCATCTCCTTTTTAGCCTTCAGCAATTTGTCATTTCTCAGACTCTTTTACCCATTTATAAAATATGAAATACTGCATGACTTAAGGAACACTTGTGAGCATGACTGCAGCCAGCAGCACTGCATGTTTTAAGCTGGATCAAAGTTAAGTACATCTATTTATGTGGGTACCTTTAAAAAAATCTAAGAGATGTGTCTGAATTATGTGTATGTGTAAATTAATCTAGCCTTAAAAGACACGTTTGACTGTGTCATATGAAGTTGTATGGCCTGATCTGGATGAACTAGATAGGTTTGTGACTTATTACTTTGCAGAAAAGCAGAACTAAAGATATACCCTGTATGTCAGTGGTGGCAAACCTATGGCACGGGTGCCAGAGGCGGCACTCAGAGCCCTCTCTGTGAGCACGTGTGCCGTCACCCCAGTCCTAGGCCTTCAGCTGGGTTTTATAAAACCTTTTCGCTTTAGGCCTCCGCCACTGTGTACAAAAAAAAAGGTTCAATCAATCAGTCAATTTCAACTTCTCGCGGGGAAAAAAAAGATCTTGCAAAGTTGGAATTGATTGATTGAACTTTTTAGTCCCACCCAGTCTGCTGTTACCACCGCAGCCATGCCCACCCAATGGGCCACGCCCACCCAATGGGCCACACCAACCCAATGGGCCACACCCACCCGGCACCCGACGATGCATAAGTGGGTTTTGGGTTGCAGTTTGGGCACTCGGTCTCTAAAAGCTTCGCTATCACTGCTGTATGTTATCATCATTGCAATGGCATTTGATCAAACTTTTATCATTCTTTATATTTGAGCATTGATGACAGTGATTTGTAGTTTGTTTCATTTCCCTTATTGGTCTTGATAGCTTTTTGGATAAACATTGTAATATTTTCATTCTTCATGAAAAGGACATATTTGCTTTGCCATTAGCAGAATGTCAGGGAATACTTTTATTACTGTTTTTTTTTCTATTTTTGATTTGTTTTTCTCTCTCTTTTAAGCGTAAAGATGGTGCTAATGTGGACCAGTGGTGACACCTTCAAGACGGTGTATTTCCTCCTGAATCAAGCTCCATTCCAGTTCTCAGTGTGTGGACTTCTCCAGGTTTTTGTAGACATGGCCATCCTTTTGCAGGTTTACTTCTTCAGCTGTTACCCACAGAAACCTGTTCCTCATTCATCACATCCAGCCAGTACGAAGGCACTTTAAAGCACAGGACGGAAGCAATTATTCTTGTAGATGTAGAAGAGGCTGGGAGCCAGCCTTAGCTTCAACGCTGCTTGTACCTACTGTGTTTCTGAGGAACTAGAAACAGAAGAATCAAAGTTGCATAGCTACATGGACACTTCTTTTGGCATTTCCCCTTCTTCTTTCATTGGGTTGCATATCTGTTGAAATGGGTTTGTCTTCTTTGGGGTTAACAGTGAAGGGTTTTCTTTTATTTTCTTCCGTTCTACTCAATTCTCTAAATATCTGTGCACAGACAAATGGGTGTATCACAAGGGCTGGTTGTTAATGTTCTCAATACTATTTTTTCAAAGGTCAGTCATAAAAGTTGGAGTATTTTGTCCGAAGCATTTACCTATTTATATGCATATGGGCTATGTATTTGGAATATGTTACATTCCTTAGATGAATGTGCAGAACCTGGTTTTGTTTTTTGTTTTTTAATGTGGTAGGCCACACTTGGTAAGATTGTAAGAGTTGATACTAGGAAGAAATGGTTTAGTGAATAATGTCAAGAAATAGATTTTGTGCAACTGTGTTAAATATATATGTGCACACTGCTGGGCCAGTGTGATGTATAAATACATCAAAGTGATTAGTGATTTTGATACAAGTGCTACTACAGCCAAACAGAACAGACTAATGCACAGTAAGTCTTCAGAGAGCTCAGAAGGATGAGTAATTTTGACACCTTGGAGAAATTACTAACAGAATCTAAAAAGGATTTATAGTTAAAGTGGAGGAGCTTGAAAGAAAGTCTGTGTTTAGGCATTATTTGCATTCTGCTTCTGTATTTTTGTTTGGTGGAAAAGCCAAATCTTGTCTTCGCAATGCGAGCACAATGACATTCGTAAAGTTATACTCTTAAGTTGCACAGATCAACTACAGTAGTATTGCTTTTTAAGCTAAAGACATTATCTGAGTAATCTTCTCTCTGTGAAAGAGATGGTCTACTAGACTAGGGTAGAGAAGAGAGGGCAATACTTTAGTGCTGGATAATAGGGCAAACTTTTTTTTTTTTACGAAGATGTTTGCGTGTGATATTTTTCTAAATATTTAATACCAAATGTCATTTTATGTTTGGGAAGAAGTGGGGCTACTGAAAACGAGGGGATAAATGATAGTAATTCTGAGTCCATTAAAGTTTTGAAAGTTGCTTCATTTTAGCAATGCCATCGCCAGTAACTGAAAAGGGAGAATGAAAAAGCACTTAGGGAGGCATATTTATAAGAGCAGAGAAACTGAAGAATCTATAAAACGAGTTCACCAGACTTATGTAAGTCTATTCTGGGATTTGATTGGGCTGCAAGAAAAGCATTGCTTGCATTGTTTTAAAAGTTCCTTGACTAATTGTCAAGGCAAATTTGCTTCCATAGCTATGAGATATATATGCATTCAACAGTGGTTCAGGAACCACTCTCTTCTCGTAGCCTTAACAAAATTGTATGTGCTTTTGTTGTTAGATATAGCCTACATCAGGGATCCTCAAACTTGGCCACTTTAAGACTTGTGGACTTCAACTCCCAGAATTCCCCAGCCAGGCATGCTGGCTGGGGAATTCTGGGAGTTGAAGTCCACAAGTCTTAAAGTGGCCAAGTTTGAGGACCCCTGGCCTACATGGAGGGGGATTTTATTAAACGCTGATTCAACTGTTACATTGATTCCCCTCAACTATCAAGAAAAAAGATATTGAAGTCTGACCAAAAGTCTTCAGCTGGATCTCCTCCTTGCCTCATCCAGTTCTCTCTCTTCCAAATCTGGGCTGACTTGAAGACATCAAAATTCCATCTTTGCAAGAGTGGGAATCTATCAGAAGCTTTGCTTGAATCTCTTCCACTTGCACATCTGATCTGGCTATGTGTCCTCTCCTATATTTCGGGTCTGAGGGACAATTTCACTAGGGCAATTCTGAATGCCCAGGAACTCGATCCCTCCCTTAAAGAGCAAAAAAAGATAAGGCAAGTCAAGGATGAGGCAATATGTTAATTGGTTATCGCTTTAATGGAGTTCTCTCTGCCCGGCTGGCAAATAAAGAAAACCTCAGGAAAGCCGCTTTAATGAGAGCTTGGTGTGAAATGTTGTAGTTGACTAGACTTGTGCTGTTGATTGGCTTCGTTGCTTATTCCTTAGTGCCTGAAGTGACCTTACCAAGCTGATTTTATGTAGCATGGCTGAATGTGAATGTTGCATTGCTCTCTTTTCCACAAATGTTCTAACTGTGTTAGAACAGGGTGGCAATCGTCTTTTAAATTATACATTTTCATCCTAGTTTTTCCTGGTGTGCTGCTGTAGCGAGGATTGTATTTCTACTCATACAACAGAATTTATTAAACTTGCAATGCTAGGTTTTATTTTTGTATGGGGTAATATTCTTTGCTTTCCCAGTGTCTTTTGAAAAGAGATACGGGATTAAACTATTATGTTAGTGCAGCCTGAATATATACAAATACCTCTTTTTTAAAAACAAGTGTTATTGAAGGTAAAATTAATAGTATTCCACACACACTCCTACTTTTTTTCCAGATGAGTTACTTAACTTCTGCTGTCATTATTAAACTTCTGCTTAACTTCTGCTGTCATTATTCTTAACTTCTGCTGTCATTATTAAAATATAGGCTCAGAACATCACAGAACTACAAGTAAACCCGAGGTGTTTATGCGCATGTGCAGTATTTAACTGTGTTGGGGTCACTCCTGAACTCCAGATAGCCACGTATTTAAGAAAAGGGCCATTTTAACACTACCCACATACGGTTTTAGGATCAACATCAATTGATTTCCAGGGGATCATAACTATCCATCACATAGAAGAGAGCCAATTGCTGCATTTTTTCCCATGGAATTTTTGTTGCCATGGCTTGAACATTTAAACTGTCCAACCTTGGCAACTTTAAGACTTGTGGACTTCAACTCCTAGAATTCCCCTGCCAGCATGAATAATGGGAGTTAAATTCCACCAGTTTTAAAGTTGCCAAGGTTGGACATTCCTGATTTAAACCAAGAGTGGACAATCTTAATTAGACAATGGTAAAGTTGATCACTCTCCTGATCAACTAGAGAAGTGTAGCATGCCTTCTAGCAACGCGGGAGAATCAGTTTTCTCTTAGCTTTTTTTGGGGTGTGGGAGGATGGATGACTCATTTCCCTGAAAACTGGCTATTTTGCCATCAAATTTCAAAAGTTCTCGAGATGCTAAGAGGCCACATTTCACCATAGGACACAGGTTGTCCGTCACTTGCTTAAGCCTTCTCTTAGTCACTCTTCATCAAGCAGCAGCTCTGATACATCTGTAAGAGTATCCAAAGAGCACCTCTGTAATTAGGAAACTATTTCCTAAACAAAAAATCTGTAAAGAACTTTTGTATATTTTAGCTATATGTTGAATGTATGGAAAAATCCAATTGCACTCATTAATGATCAGTTTGATTTTTTTTTTTAAAAAAAATAAAGTTATACACAAGTTCATTATTTGTTTTTCTTTTCAAATGTAACAGAAGAAATATTGTTGTTATGTGGGTTCAATTAGCCTGGCTTCCTCCTCCAAAGTATACTGAACTTGAGAAAGAAAACATTTAATTTATATATACATACAGGAGAACTGAGTTGAGTTTCTGATGTTGAAATAAGGCTGCTGTTTATTGTGTTCAGGACTGATTGTGCACCACTGCACAAAATAAGTTCAGTAACATACTCATTTCCAGCACAACTCATTTATACTCAATGGCCAGTCTTCTAAAATTGATGGTTTTAATAATGTAATACTTTAAAATAATGCATTTTGATAACAAAGATTTTATTTCTCCAAGATACCAATGATCTAATGAGATGTTAATATATGCACTTATTATACACAATTCACACAGAACCAGACCTCTGGATAACAACTTTCTGAATAGATCTTTGACCTATTCCAATAGACCTCTTCTGATCCATCGGTTTACAGCAAAACACTGCTATTTTATACGGTTTGGCATGTAAAGTTAAAACATTTCATATACTTCATTGCCCAGAATACAATATAAAGTACTGGCTGAACTCAATGAATCCTGCATGGTGAATTTTGTTAGGACTGTAGGATAGAAACAACTATTTTAAATTCCAATTAAAAAAATTGCAGCAGGAGTTTTATTTATTCAAAAGACAATTTTTTAATCTAGTTTTTCTTTGCAGCACCAGAATCTCTTCACAAGCCTTAGAATGTGATATTTGAATCACATCTACAATCCTATATATATGATGGTGTGATAATCTGAAGGTTCCAGTTACTCCCTACTAAAGCACACTGTCCTATCCTTTCTGCCCTTATTTTTGTCAAATTGTGCTGCTTTAATCTGCAGGTAGTCCTCAACTTACAACAGTTCATTCAGTGACTGAAATTACAACAGGACTGAAAAAAGTGACTTATGACCGTTTTTCACACTCCGTGACCATTGCAGCATCCCCGGGGTCACGTGATCAAAATTCAGACTCTTGGCAATTGACTCATATTTATGACAGTTGCAGTGTCCTGCGGTCATGTAATCACCTTTTGCGACTTCCTGACAAGCAAAGTCAATGGGGAAGCCAGATTCACTTAACAACTGTGCTACTAATTTAGCACCTGCAGTGATTCACTTAACAACTGTGGCCAGAAAGGTAGTAAAATGAGGCAAAACTCACTGAACAAATGTTTCACTTTAACAACATAAATTCTAGATTCAATTGTGGTTGTAAGTCAAGGACTACATGTATTCTTTTGTTTTTGGACATAAAAATAGAAAAAAATGATACTGTTGCCATCTAGAACAGGGGTCCCCAACCTTGGCCACTTTATGATTTGTGGACTTCAACTCCCAGAGTTCCTCAGCCAGGAATTCTGGGAGTTGAAGTCCACAAGTCATAAAAAGGCCAAGGTTGGGGACCTCTGATCTAGAAGACTGGATATAATAGAAAAGGCGCTGCTTCTGTCAGTTGCACTAAGATTTCTTTTGGCAGAGCGCGCCATACTGTATATTCCAGCAGCAGCAGCAGCAGCTATGCTCCTAGTATAATACAAAAATTTAAAGAGTCCTTGGGTAAATGGCTGACAACTGTTGCTCCAATTCATACCCCCAAACAACATTAG